GGATTTGCTGAAAGATTTCCTGGATAGACAATCAAATCAGGCTGAAGATTAGACAATTTGGTTGCATTGTTCTCAGAAATAAGAATTTTGTAACAATGTATACGTTTTTGTAACTACAAGGTCGTCATAGTGCTAACAGAGCAGTATGCAAAACCAGCTGATTGCCCGGCACCAGTGACGTCATATTGTAAGGCACATAAGCCATGGTGTGCTTATTATCATGATTATCTTCATAGAACTCTCAGTAAATATGCAAAAGATGAATCTCAGTCTGTATAATGTAAAAACTGTAAGAGTTGTTTGCTTGTGATACCTCTACTATTCTATTAACTATTAGATAAATACTCTTTTTTCTTTTAAAAGCAAGACAAAAAGGTTTATTTTCGTTCAAACATGCCCATTAAAAGGTCCAAAGATGAAAGCTTTTAATGTTAAGGGTTGAATAATTATGATAACAGGGTCCCTGAACTACCATCCAACTGGACCACAAACAGAAGACAACCCAACTGGCCTGTGGTCACTATATGGTGTTCACCTGGTACACAAACTGCTAACACAATCAAAATATTACTACTAATACCACATTCAGTTACATTATTTCAGTAATCTTGTAACCCAGGTTTTGTGTTGTGGGTAGTTAATTCCACCACTGGACTAAATCTAAGACCTCCCTCGGTCTCTGGGTGTCCTCAGACTGGACCCAGGTTCAGCCATGGACACAGGATCCAGGATTGAAAACAAAATGTAGACCCTACAACTATATACTGACATAGTAGCCCTAGCTTGTTTCTAATGATGACTGACAGTCAAGGCACAAGACCAGGCATGTAAAGATTGGTAAAGTAAGCAGTGTTGGCCTGGTATCAGGGGGTATGTAAACTATCAATTTTAGGTAGTGCCCAACCGTAGACAAAAGAAGAAACACCTTCGAGTACCACTTTGTATACAAACTAGAATCACCAAAGCTACACAATTTCAATCACTGCTCTTTTCAGTCACTTCTGAAACAACACAAACTTTTATTTTGTTCAAGGCCATAGCTATGACAAATCAAAGGTATGAGCATTAACCCCCTGGATGCCACAGGGACATATATGTCCTTCCCCTTCAACCCTCAATTTCAAGTCCAATAAAAATCAAAATATCCCACGCACACAAATACACTTCACAGTTTCGAATTCTGCGGGGAAATTTCCTGTTTCTTGATAACGCCCACTAGTATTTTAGACAAAGCTCAAGTGCTGAAAATGACCTTCAAAATTGGCTTCATCGAATAATGTCGCCATTTTTGACACAGTACAAAATCGCGATTCACAGCGTTATTTGCTGTATGTTTTGAAATGTGAAAATCGGATAATTACTGGGAGTATTGAATTTCAAAAATAACATATTTATGATCACTGATATCGGTTTTACATGAAATTGCTAATTATAATTCTGAAACGTTGCCGATGAATCTAGAATCTGTTGGGATGTTTTCGAAAATGCACTTACACGAACACCGTAGAGCGCTTTCCGCCATATTGGATAGTGTTTACAAAATCACGCTTCGCGAGGCCGGTATTGAGACGCCCTATTACATCCGCATATATTTCATATTCAGCTTCGAAAAATGCATCACTGAATTCCCCATACATTTTAGAATCAAATTGCAACTGGTCTGTGTCACCAATGATAACTGTCTAGATAAAATGAGACGAAACATATTGGGTGTGAAAACGAACGCTGTGCTTGAAAGACTGCGTTAGTCTGAAATGTAAACAAAGCCAAATTCCGATTTTACACTGCGTAGCATTTTCTGAAAATTTTCAACATTCATCCGTCTATTCATTGCTTGTAATTGCTCAATACCTTTGGAATATGCATGGAAAGAGTATCGTAGCAAGAAATAGGAAATTATAAATAGATACAATGCAATGATTTGATAATTCATAAGAAATTGTCAAAGTTTCCGTGCAGCGTGACGCCATGACTGACGCCAAATCACGGAGAACGACAACGGTAATTATCTGCATTTCTGGCCTTTTCTCTTACTTATAGTGAAAATGATAAAAACATATAACAATACACAGATAGTCAGAATCATTCTGATTACTTACATGTCATATTTATGTACAAACGATCCCTGAATCAATGGAGTGAGTGAGTGAGTTTAGTTTTACACCGCACTCAGCAATATCCCAGCTATACGGCGGCAGTCTGTAAATAATCGAGTCTGGACCAGACAATCCAGTGATCAACAGCATGAGCATCGATCTGCGCAATTGGGAACCGATGACATGTGTCAACCAAGTCAGCGAAACTGACCACCCGATCCCGTTAGTCGCCTTTTACGACAAGCATAGTCGCTTTTTATGGCAAGCACATGGGTTGCTGAAGACCTATTCTACCCCGGATCTTCACGGGTCCTGAATCAATGGAAGGGTCCTCGCAAAATCCTGTGTACCCTTGTCAGCAAAGCCGCCATTTTGTAAGAAATCGGTCAGCGTTAGTGATGTCATACGTCAACATTGTTCTACATATTAGGCAATTTCTTTGAGGTGAAGGTCGGTTGAACAAGAGTAAACACAATCGCCATATCCTTCCGATTACACTGTCAGTATTATGGTGTATATTTTGCGTATAAGTTCAGATACTTTTTCATGAAACTGACTTCAGTATCTACATTTAACCTTGTTCAATATCATATCATACGTGCATCTAGGGTTTACGGTGTTTTATTCTTTGAGACTTTTTGATTGTTTGAATCATATTTACATAAGAAATTGACATATTTAGTGCAATACACCATATTCGAAACCTTTACACAAGTGTTAGAAGATCAAACGTAGCAATAACTGCAACTACTTTAGTTCCTATGATGTACAATATTCATTTTTTTTTTACTAATATTGCAATTTCATATGAACAGGTTAATGAAAGTTGATTTAATTCAACCTTATATGTAAAACTGATAATGACAATGATTTATATATGGTATGAAATGTATATGCACACATATTTAAAGGAATGGTCTTGTTCATTGCATAATTTTGTGTCGTTTTATAGACAAAAGAATTATGCATATTGATCGGCAAGGTGCGCGTTTGTTGAAACGTTTTATTATTCTCTATCATTGTTTTCGATAATATATTCAATTCATATTCGATTAAATAATATTGTGATGACAGGATATCAAACTCTAACTACATTTATAGGAAAATTGTTGAAAAATATATATACCATCTCATGTGTTAATTCGGACAAATCTTACATCCATATTCTAATATATAGTTCCACATATAAAAAGCTATCTTTTTGCATCTTTCATTGCATACGTATGAAGAGAAATAGCGACATAATCATAAACAAACAAAATTCTTATCCCAAACAAAATATTCGGGTGTTGTGAAATATTTATTTTTATTTACGTTAAATTGATACCAAACAGGTACGCGTGTTGTTCACAAAAAGATACACTGTCAAACCGTCTAATTGTTGATATATTCAGGACACTATTTAAAAAGAAAAATCAGTATTTTTATGTTTTGTCCAAAGAGTGTTAAATTCTAACATAGAAGTCTAGACCTTTTATACAATTAATGGAAATTAAGTGACATATATACTAATCAGCATACCAATGTCGTCCTTTTCCGACGTCGCAAAATGCATAAAACAAGCAATGACGTCAACTAAAATGTTGTTACATTTGAAGATATGGCTAGTACTCTGGTAATGCAAAATAAGTCAAATTACATCTACACAAACAGGAGGATATGGGAATCTAAGAACTAACTTATATATCGGATAGGGCCATTTAAATCGCTATTACGTGCTTTCACATATAATACGTTGACATCTTTTCTTATAAATTGTGAAACTACCAAAGCGCATCCGTTCACATTGGGGAACTTTGAATTGGAATAGTTTGGTTCACCATGAACATAAAATAACGAAAATATAGCGTCCGTATCCACAACAAATTCTGTCCACGTGATCTGAGTTACATTGACCTAGTGTTACACATAACGGAGTTATGCCCCCTTATCATTATACGTGTATGGCCTCTCTGACGTCGTTTGACGTCATAGAAGAAAATCCATTTTTGACATTTATTACGAGTCATTTTTAATGTTGAGCGTATAAAGTTATGCACAAGCACATAAACCCAATTTATATACACTTATGTCCTTCAGATATCAGGCTGTATTTTCTTCGCTCACACATTCCGTAAAGATGCCACATTAAAAAATTCGTAGCACAGTGCTTTTATCGGTGCGCAATAAAAAGCGGAGAAATTTACTGTTTTTAAACGCATAACAAAAATTTGGACAACATTTATCAAGGTCTATTTCTCAAACCGCCAAGGTAGTTGCAGTTATATTTATACCAACGGATAGGAAATTTAATATTCTACATTTCTAATTTTATAGCCGTACGTAGATCCAGGACCACACGAGCGCAATTCTCGCACAACGTTCACTTTTCAAAGCGTATGAAAATGTGCGTCTGAAAAAAAACTCGGCATCAAGGGGGTTAAATACATGAGACATCATGAGACTGAGGCGTCTCAGCTGATAATCCCAAGATGTGTATTTTGAATCTGGTATTTTCTCTATTCTATGTTTTAGGTCAGGAAATTCAACCATGTCAGGAAATAATAAATTTTTCCTTCCACCAGGTCTGTTTTTTTCTATGATTACCTAAATTGGTGGGCAAGAAGTAAACTTGCACAAGTCTCTAAGGTAAATATTAATAGTTTAAATGATAATTTCTTTTAAAAAATAATAAATAACAGACTGGGGTCCTGTCCGCATATCTTGACTTGCCTCTTCGAAGGATAGAATTACTATATATCTGTGTACTCAGCATTCACGACAGCCTTGGAGCATGGTTAAGAATTAAGTCCTTGGGGTTGTAAACAAGACGTTTGTCAGTCAAGAAGTCCATGAGCCAATATTTGGCTAAAACACTGAGTTGAATGTGTTAATAATCAATGTCTTTTCTGTGGTACATTTCAGCAATTCTGGTGACTGCATCGAAGACTTCCAGTAACACTTACAAGTACAACACCGTGACAGTAGTTCTCCTGACTGAGTGTGTCAAGCTGATCACATCCCTCATCCTGTATCTCAAGGAGTAAGTTATACCACATATATAATTATGGTTATGATATGATTAAAAAAAATGACGAGGCATCACGCAAAAAGCCACATGGTCATGACATGTATAATGGAATTGTAAACAAACCGGATGATGTCTTTTCTGTGGTTTTGTGATGAAAATATACTGAGTTATTAGCAATTGTTGCGGATCGAATGAGTGACATGATTTGTGTGTGTTTGCAGCCACTCCTGTGCTACCTTGAAGGCTGATGTCATCAAACACAGGCAGGGTAGGTGGAGTACTGGATGGGCACAAATTGGGGTGAACATCTTAAACAGTCATGTTTGAAATACAACTCCTTTTGTCATTTTGGGATTAACAAGATGTGTGGGATACAAACACCCATGCATGTGATGTTATCCTGAATTCCTGTTATTAATGCAATCTATTCTTGTTAAGTGGGGTTTGATGGTACCAGGATACAAATATCTACTTACTAGTTGAAGTTCTATGCATCCAACTTGGCTTTTAACAGCTTGTCATCACAAACAGCAAGTCTTATGATTGGAGAGACAATATACTATTTTCTTGTTGCCAATTTTCTCATGAAATATATTATATAGGCCACATGTCCTACAATGTTTTCATGATTTTACTGCAATTTGTTTAATGACATGTAGAATCAACAATGACCATTGTTGTGTTTGTTCCACAGTTTTAGGACTGTACTTCATGCCAGCGTTTCTCTACTGTCTGTACAACAACCTTCAGTTTGTGAACCTTGCAGCATATGACCCAACCACATATTACCTGCTTCTACAGTTCAGAGTTGTCATCACAGGGGTATTCTTCCAGGTGAGTCTTGGTTGTCACAGGGGTATTCTATCAGGTGAGTCTTGGTTGTCACAGGGGTTTTCTATCAGGTGAGTCTTGGTCATCACAGGGGTTTTCTATCAGGTGAGTCTTGGTCATCACAGGGGTTTTCTATCAGGTGACTCTTGGTTGTCACAGGGTGTTTCTATCAGGTGAGTCTTGGTCATCACATGTCTTCTTCCAGGTGACTCTTGGTCATCACAGGGGTTTTCTATCAGGTGAGTCTTGGTCATCACAGGGGTTTTCTTCCAGGTGAGTCTTGGTTGTCACAGGGGTTTTCTCCCCAGTGAGTCTTGGTCATCACAGGGTTTTCTTCCAGGTGAGTCTTGGTCATCAAAGGTGTTTTGTATCAGGTGAGTCTTGGTCATCACAGGGTTTCTTCCAGGTGAGTCTTGGTCATCACAGGGGTTTTCTTCCAGGTGAGTCTTGGTCATCACAGGGTTTTCTTCCAGGTGAGTCTTGGTTGTCACAGGGGTTTTCTCCCTAGTGAGTCTTGGTCATCACAGGGTTTTCTTCCAGGTGAGTCTTGGTCATCACAGGTGTTTTCTTCCAGGTGAGTCTTGGTCATCACAGGGGTTTCTTCCAGGTGAGTCTTGGTTGTCACAGGGGTTTTCTTCCAGGTGAGTCTTGGTTGTCATAGGGGTTTTCTTCCAGGTGAGTCTTGGTCATCACAGGGTTTTCTCCCTAGTGAGTCTTGGTCATCACAGGGGTTTTCTTCCAGGTAAGTCTTGGTCATCACAGGGTTTTCTTCCAGGTGAGTCTTGATCATCACAGGTGTTTTGTATCAGGTGAGTCTTGGTCATCACAGGGTTTTCTTCCAGGTGATTCTTGGTCATCACAGGTGTTTTCTTCCAGGTGAGTCTTGGTCATCACGTTTTTTTCAATGTATGGCAATAGTTGCATGGCTTTGTTTTTGTTTGTTTGGAAAAGAATTGAAAAGAAATGTTGTTACTCATTTCCTACATTTGACAATACCATGGACCTTTACACCATTCTCATTTGTTTTTCCTTTTTTTTTCACCAGATTCTTTTCCGAAAACAGCTGAGTCGAATTCAATGGGCGTCTCTAATTCTCCTCACAATTGGATGCATTATAAAGGAACTGAACCACCACAGCGGTGGCACCAAAACCAATTCCACAGAATCTCCCAGCACAGAGGGTGGCACATCGTTCCTCAGCTTTGACAAACTGTTTGACATCCATCTGCTCTTCATCTTGCTACAGGTTTTCTGTTCCGTGTTTGCGGGAGTGTATAATGAATACCTTCTCAAGGACAAAGGCTGTGATGTGCATCTTATGATGCAGAACATTTTCATGTACGTAGACTCTATCATATGCAACATCTTCATGCTTGGTTTCCGAGGGGACCTAGCAAGTGCTTTTTCAGTGTCAAGTGTCATTGCCATATTTTCACGGCCAGGTGTTATAGCAATCGTGTTCAATGCTGCTGCTTGTGGCATTGTCACAAGTTTGTTTCTTCGATCATTGAATTGTATTTTGAAAACATTTGCAAGTGCCTTAGAAATCATGTTCACTGCTATTTTATGTTGGTTTATTTTCAACATTCCAGTAGATGTATACACAGTGGTAGCTATTTTTGTAGTTAGTGCTGCCATCTATCTTTACGCTCAAAATCCAATCATAAATAAAGCAAGGAATGAGGTGATTGAGGATCCAAGCAAACCTGACAATGCTAAAGAATCTGTTTAGACTGTAGTTGGATTCTGAACAAAAGTGTTTATTTTCCCCTAGATCACGATTCATCTCTTTGATATCAGGGCTCCCAATAATCATGATCAGCTATATATATTTTCTCATATTTAAAGTCATTTTCTCATTTTCTCCACTTCAGTTGAAACACTTGTCATATTTGAATAATTGATAATAATATTAAAACTTTATGACATGGATGTGAAATGTAATATTTTTTATATTGATTATTGTTCTAAATTTCTTGTGAATGAGAATTAAACATAATCTCAGGACAAAATCTTAGAAAATACATAATGATTGAACAGTGTTTTATATTGTTATTACTGTTTTAGTGGTAGGTTTGCTGAATATCTGTGATCATGTGACTACATTCCCTTCACTAATTCAAGTACAGTCAGACCTTGTACAGAATTCAGGTGTGTCAAAATCCCCTGGTGTGTCAATTCCCCTGGTGTGTCAAATTCACAGTCCTGTCCAGAGAAGTTTTTAATATATGTGCAACTGTTTTAGCCCGGATGTATAGAATTCCTGGTTGTCTTGAACTCAATATTAAACTTATCCTCTACATTTAATTCAATTAGATTTTGAATACACACAAGTCTGTAGCAAGTGTAATGGTCAAGTAGAATGGTCTATACACATATCCGACAATCTGTGGTCTGTGATCTGTGATCATCATCATTGTACAAAAGCTATTTGCATAATATGCACTTTGTAATCCATTTGCTTCTGTTTCATGGTAATATTTAATCTAAAGTGCCAAATTCAAGATAAGTGAAACTGTTTCTCAGGTCCCCAGGAGCTGAAGACACCAGGGTTTGACTGTATAAGCATAATCTCTAGTATAATCTATTCTCTACCTGGATTGCCAAGTGGCATCACACATCATAAGGTCTAGTGGACCACACCTACTGTTGCTCCCATTTGTTTTGGGTTTAAATCCCAGATTGGCCTCTTATTGTCCTGCTTTGGTGTGTCTGCATGATAGTGGGCTTCAACCAAGGCATTACATGTGTTCAAGCTACATCACTCAGGGGACTAAGATGTTACACAGTGATAGGATATACTTTTGATGGGTTATACCTAACACACTCTGTTCTCAGCAAGGTATGACAGTACTGACCAGCTAAACTTCTGCATCATTGGCCTGCCATTCATGTCAGATAGTGATGTATTTTGATAATATTCTCATGGAAAAAGAATAAAGGAACACACAAAAGTGCAAGTGTTCCTATACTTGTTTCCGGGTTTCTTGTCATGCTTAAAATCTCTGTGTGGGTGAAAATCTGGAAATAAGAAAAGAAACACTTGTATTTCATGTTCTCCCTGAATCATTTCCGTGAGTATGTTAATATGATAACTAACAATCATTATCATAATTAGCCTGGCTGAGATGAGCAATACCCAGCTGACAAAGTATTCCATGAACTTGTAATTAGATTTCGTACCCTTATATATAATACTTCATTAGTATTCCAACCCAATACATAAACAGAATTGACGAGTATGAGTAAGTCAGAAACCATACTGTGTTTTATTTCTATGTTGAGTAGGCGTTTGCAACACATTTAAGAAACATAATAATAGATGATGTAATTTTATATATGGCGATCAAATATTGACCTTATTAAGTATTGGATTTATAGTTTAGTTTGAATTCAGGAACCACTCATGTGATATATGTTTGTTCATGTACACCATGTTCACTGGAAACATTTCTTGACTTTTTGCAATGTTCGGGATCCAAATGCATAATAGCATTGTAAAAAAGGCTTCTGTCTGAGGGAGTTTGTCATGAGTAATCATGTAACTGTATGTTGGACAGTCAAACACAGATTACTGGTAGTATCGCTGGTCCACAGTTGGGGATTGGTTGGATGTTATTGGGAGCAGGATGGACTGGTCAGTATACACATGGGAAAGGTGGTAGCAGTTTTTTTGTTGTTGATGAGGGTTAAAATACTTATAAGGAGAACGTCCTCGTGAGAGTTGTGGTGCTGAATTTATGAATTAACAATTGTATGTATGGCCATAACAACTGATTTATTAGGATCTCATCCCAGTTTACCTCACCACAGTACCAAAGACACTTTCTTACTTGATGGTATTTTCCTGCAGACAAAACAATCACGCGATGTTGCCTTATGCCTTCACTTGATGAAATGCATATGTGAAACCGAAATGAACCCATGATGACCCTCCAGTTTGTTCTAGCAGAACCCAAGTTTGAGTATGTCCACCACGGCAGCCATATTAAAAACCCATCTATCCCAGGCATTTACCTGTATTTATTTGTGTACAAACAAATGAAATTTGATAGTGTGTAATGGGGCTTAATTTATGTGTGCTGTTTTTGATGGTTGTGACCTTTTTTACTTTTCTTTGCTAAACTGAAAGCTGAAACTTCTTGTGCCCTAAGTCAGCCATTTTGTTTGTAAATGTCATGAAATTTGGTACATGTGTTGTTGTGGGTGGGGCAAGATATATGTTATGATTATGAGGAAATGTTGATCCATTTATAAACATGGCTACCCAGCAGCAATATTGAAAAACCTAGTTATTGTCCAACATGAAGCTTCCCTATTTTGTGGTATTGTTTTTTCCTTGGTTTGATCTTTGCACTTTGACTGAGTGCTGATACTTCTTATGGTCATTTACAGTGTGCGAAGCCCATTTCTGGTGTCCCCCGCCGAGATATTGCTGGAATATTGCTAGAAGCTGCATGATTGTTTGAAGTAAATAATTCAACAGCCAAAAAAACAAGTTCAAGGTTTTGAGTCCAGTAGCCTTTTTATCATTAGATATTCAGCCTCTCACAACCATACAACCACCTTGGTGGTCAAGAAGAGAGGTCAGTGATTTTGTCATGACTGCATTATTTCAAAAGATGTTGAAAGAAGATACTTATTTTTCCTTATCCTGACTCATGCTCTTTTGCTTGTCTTCTTCTTCTTGCGAACATAGTGGAAACACTTGTATCTCCTTAATTGAAGCTCCCTTCAATGTAAAATCACTAATTAGTACTCACCACGAGTTGCTCCCCTTTAATCCCTCTGGTGGGAAAGGTGTCGCCACCTTATACCTCGTGCTTCACTCTCTCCTTCTTCGCCCAGTGAGCAGGATGCGAGAGCCTGTGTCTCCTTACACAACATATCCTTTGATATTTCTTAGTTTATTACCTCTTATAGTTTACTATAGAGGTATAGCTAGTATCCTTCAGTAATTTGTATTGATTATTTATCGTATTTCTACTGTTTATTCACGTGTATTCGTGATTGTTCAGCTAGTATTACGTTGATGAAAATCTGTACTATTTGTAGATTACGTTTTTCTGCCTCAGATCCGCATGTTATATGCCCTAATTGTTCTACGCCGTGTGCGTTTGATTCACGTTGCAGTTATTGCATTAATTTATCTAATTCTGCATTTAATAAATATTATCTTTGCATCTTAAGACGTGCTGCAGATAGGTCACGCAAACAAGGGCTAAATATGGCTGATACTCCAGATACTCCATCTAGTCAGCTGCTGGCGATCGACCCCCTACCGTCTGGTGTTCTGCTAGAGACCCCATCGGAAGAGGGACGTGGGACGCAGTCCGTCACCTCTAAGAAGCGACCGGCCTCCCCAGACATCCCGTCATCGCAGCTAAAGTCCAAGAGGGCCTCGACGTCTTCTCAACGCAGACTTCGTACCCCCAGGGCAGCGTCGACATCCAAAGGAAAGTCTACGAAGACAGCGAGAACTTTCTCAGCCGAGATCGTTCCAGCCGAAGAAATGGGCCTCTACGATGACCAGCCGATTATCATCCCCGACATACGGCACAAGAAGCGACCGGTGTCAGCGACAGTGACTTCAGCAGAGATCTCCATGCAGCCTGATGCCTCTACACTGATGTCAGACGTTATTGCTGTGGACCCCATCATTAACACCGCAGAGAAGGCTCAGACGACATCGTCGCAGACCATCCCTGATGACCTGATGCAGCAAATTATGACGATGATGGAAGACTGATATAGACTGCAGAAGCAAGGACCGAAGCAAAGGGCTCCAGCTCAAAGCTCCAACGTAGACAGCACCCCAGAGGCACCCCCCGTCAACGTAGCAGCCAGGACGATGTCACCTTCGCGAAGGAAGGCACGGACCACCTCCACGAAGGACCTAGATGTACAGCCTTCGTAATTCCCCCGGACCGGACGCAGAGGAAGCTTCGCGAAGGCATTCCCGAAGGGCAGCTGAATCCAGATCATCATCATCTAGAAGGACATCGAGGGACTACACAAGAGCTTCGCGAAGCTATCAACGTTCTCCTCACAGGTCACCGAGAAGATCAACCCATAGACGTAGATCACCTAGACGATCTCCTCCTCGTTCATCACCACTTAGATCACCTTACAGGTCACCATACAGAGCTGCACAAGCATTGCCGGACATAGAGACAGAAGCATGCAGTCCAGAGCAGCACCAACCTCTCATCAATGATGATGGTATAGAGGATGATGGAGGAGTTATTTTCTCCGATGCTGAGATACGGTATTGGATGGTCAATAACCTAGATCTCTCATCACCATCTAAAATGGCAATGTGTATGGCAGACATATCTGATGAAAGAAGGCGATGCAGATGCTATCACACTACCACCCGATCGACCCGATTACAGCAGTCCCACAGAATCTAGATGCAGCATTCCACAAAGCCACGAAAGTTAAGACACCACATCTACCAAACTTTCATGCCAAGAAGTTCTCCACGCATAACATGGACCCTTCTTCAAAGCTCAAGACATCGATGAGAACTATAAGTTGATCAACGACGTCAAGTACAAAATTACAAGATTGATGATCATAAGTTAGTCCAGATAGAAACCATGGCCTAGGCGTATGTTTTTGGTTTAAATAGATCTAGAGCGATCAATGAGACTCTTATCACCAGATTTGTTGATCGACTTCTGAGGATGATAGAATGATTTATTCTGCCTTACTTATGCAAAGAAAGACCAGCAGTTCCTAACAGATCATCTTACATCTATTTCAGCAGCACTGACCTTAGCTCGTCGTCAAGGCCTCCTAAGCTTCCTGCAACTGGGGTGAGAACTTTACAGCCCCACTGTATACAGCCCGTGGTCTTCAACATCCATCTTTAACGGAGAAATAGACAAAGTTTCCAAAGGAAGTCACTAAGGATTCCAGAGAAGTCCTTATGATTAAATCGATGGACACACTAGCCAGCGTCATTCGACAGACATCACAAAGATACTCAGGAAGATCTAAATTCGCGGGTCTACAGAGAGCGCGAGACAGGAAGATAGCCAGCTCTAGAGGAAAAGATTCTTTTAGGTTAGCCCATTCGGCAACTATAGAGGAGGATCAGGAAGAGGCAGGACACCCAGAGGTTTCCAAGAACTATAAGCGCTGAAAGACAGGTTCCGAACGACTGGAGTCTTCCACCCCAGCCGTTCCAGTACAACCATCTCAAGTGGGTGGGCGCCTCCAACTATACTGGGAAAACTGGGGAATGTTACAAGACCCTTATGTCTCCAACATTCTTAGATCCGCGGATTTCGTGATCCCACTAAAGGCCAAGCCTCCGCTGACAGTCAACCCTCACAAGTTCGACTTACAGGCACAACAACTACCGAAGTTAAGAGAGGCTGTTACATCACTCCTAATAAAGCAGGCCATAGAAGTACTAGACCAAGACAACATAGAACCAGGTTTCTACTCCCCCAGTTTTCCTAGTTCCCAAGAAAACTCCAAGGAGAAATACAGACTCATCTACAACATGAGCTTTTTCAACAAGAACTATCTACGCAAACCTCCGAAGTTCCGCATGATACATTTACCTCAGTTACGGCAGTTGATTCGCCCCATGGACTACATGGGCAGTATCGATCTACAGGACGCTTACCTGCACATCCCGATACACTCCAAAGCCAGGAAATACTCACGGTTTACTTTAGGCGGGCAACATTACCAGTGGAAAGTGCTCCCATTCGAATATCATCAGCCCCTGGCTTTTCATGAGGATAGCGAAACCGATTTTCACCTATCTTCATCATCAAGGGCTACGAAAGCGTTTTACCTCGACGACGGGATACAAGTAGATCAAGATCCACAGCATCTCAAACTACAGTTAAACTACATCATAAAGCTACTAACACAGCTAGGATGGTTAGTAAACTTACTCAAGTCGGACCTAGTACCGTCACAAGACCTACAGTTCCTAGGCATTCGATTTATCACAAATCTCAACCGTATCGTCGTACCAGAAGACCGTTGGATCAAGATCCAACAGACCATTCCACCAGCTCTACTCTCTCCGTTACCACTTCGACAATGGCAGAGCCTCCTAGGTCTCCTCACATCAGCCCAAGACATGACAGTCAGAGGCAGGTTACAGTTACGTCCCTTACAGGTCTTCATCAATGCACATCTCGACGATTTACAGCCATTCAGTCTACCGAAACATCTCAGACCTCATCTACTATGGTGGACAAAGAAATCGAATGTCTGCGAAGGGATTTGTTTAGCAGAGCAGGAATTCAAAACCCATCTATATGTGGACGCGTCACTTCAAGGTTGGGGAGCTCATCTAAGCCAACCAGGCGACATCGGGATTATGGAACCAACAAGAAAGCAAACTCCATATAAACATCCTAGAGATGAAAGCTGTAATCAGCGCCATTCTACATTGGGCGCATTTCTACAAAATGCGCACCTTATGATTCATACCGACAATTCCACAGTGGCGTTCTCGTGAACAAGCAAGGCTCAAGCGAGATCACTGAACCTTTTGAACTTAAGCTTTCAACTATTCGATCAACCCACGATCTAAATCTACAGATCAGAGCAGTTCACATTCGGGGAGCCAGAAATGTACTAGCAGACGCTCTCTCGGCCTCATCTACCATCACCCGACAGAATGGATGCTCAATACGGAAATATTTGCACAGATAATCAAGCCGTTAGAAGCCGCTAATAGATCTATTAAGCCACAAGATTCAACAATCAGCTACCGACATTCGTGTCACCAATCCCAGATCCACAAGCTTGGGAAGCGGATTCTAAGTATATCATGGAAGGCCTCAACGGCGTGCAGCGTTCCGCGCCAGCAATAATACCTCAAGTATTACAGAAAATCAAACAAACACAGAGTCTACAACTCTCTGTATGGTCAGCCCTACTGGCCAGCCAGAGTATGGTTTCCCATTCTAATTCAAGAAATCGGTCAACCAGTATTAGAGCTACCCAAGCTCAAACCTGTTAATACATCCACACACGAAACAGGTGCACGGAAACCCAGAAGTTTACCAACTTCATTATGGACTGTATACAAATGTGTTTAAACAAGAGAGGATATTCTGCCAGGGCTG